AAAAAGGAAAAAAAAAGATTTACAAGTAGATATAGTGATAACAGAAAAATACAAGGCAGAGAACACAAAAAGATGAAGTCAATGCTATAGGTTCAACAGTATTTCATGAGGCTAAAAAAATCTGTTAACTTTGAAAGCCCTAGCAAAATATCACTCTTGTTTAAAAAACACTTATTTATCATATGACCACATGTTGAATCCTTTTCTTTCTACATACTGAAGAATCCTACAGTCAGCCTTTAAGCATTCTGCATTTCTTTGCCAATCTTGTAGCTGAGTATCTTGTTCCAGTCAATTTTGGTGTGGGTAACTGGATGCTGCCAGCGCAAGGCCTTGAATGTGGTGTCTGACATTGTGTGGTAGTTTTCACTAATTGCAGTCTGCAACAGATAATCGAAGGTTAGTTACTTGAACAGAAATGGGTTGGTTGTGAAAAGGAAAGTAACTCATTAGTCAAAGGACACACTTACATTACAAGAGTTAGACAGGATAGATTATATATTTTCTAGTGAGCTCCTCTTCAATTTCTGAAGTGAGCCAACAAGATCATCTATATTGTTTAAACTACAGCTATGGTCTCTTCCAAACTTGAAACCTTAATTTCAAGCAGAATGCCAGATTAAAGGGTCTGACTCAACAGCATAGGCATTCGAGTTAGAAGAGAGAAAGGTCTAACAAATATATTAACAGAAAAATATGGCACTAGGATCTAGAAAAATTAGTTCCAAGTCTTCTTACCTGATATTCATTTTCTGCACGCTCTATGATTTGAATAAACTCCTTGGCAGTTTGAACTTCATTCTAATGGAGAAAGAGGAAGAAAAAAATGAATGAATTATTTGTTTCCTTGCTTATTGGATGAGTACAGCAAAAGGGGTGCTCTGCCACTGAGCACAGACCTTATTCTGAAATTTTAGACATGGTTTCACTAAGTTATCAAGGCTGGCCTTGAGCTTGCAATTCTCTTGCCTCTAGATTCTAGAGTTGCTGGGATTATAGGTGTGTGCCACTGAAGCAAGCAGTGCTTATATATTTAAAAAATCATTTGTGCTGGATACAGTGGCAACTCCAGAGGCTAAGGCAAAAGGATGAAAACTACAAGGCCAGCATTGGCAGCTTAGCAAAACCCTGCCTCAAAATAGAAATTTTGAAAATAAATACAAGGGGCTGGAGATAATAGTTCAATGATAGAGCAAATCCGTGGGCTCAATCTCTAGTATCGCAACAAACAAGCAAGCACTAAGTAAAA